AAAAAAAAAAAAAAAAAGAAAAGAAACTTATACCGATCGATATGACGTGCTCGAGCTGGAAAGTTCAAGTACGGAGGAGGACTTAGTAGGAAAGAAAAGTTTGCCGCATAATTTAGTCCACGAGGCTGGAAACAGGGCATTAAAACGAGAACAGATGTACAGATAGCCTCGTTTCTCGTGCGAAATGGAGACCCAAATTGCAAGGTAAATACACATCGTACCGAATGAAAAATGTGTATAAGCGTTGAAATCGCGCTGGTATTTCGTAGAAAACCGGCCCGAGATCCAAGAGACGAAAAAGTTCGAAAGGAAATCATCGACGAGGAGACGAGGGGAGTGGCTCCTCCTTATCAATTCATATTAAAACGTAATCGTCGATCGGTGTAATAACAAGGAGCTGGTGGCACGCGATTCGGGGAAAAGGTTCGCCCCTCTTTCGTGCAACGGGTATCTTCGATCTGACCTAGTCACTAGGTTCACGTACAAAGAGCTGGCACGTATCCGTCGAATAAGTATGCAAGTTTACGGATTCCGCACGAACGTGGCCAAAGCCCTCGTTCAAATTTTACACGGCTCGTTAGAGGCAACGTATCTAGGGCAGCAGTATTTCCCTTAAACTATGAACATACAGCGAAAACACTGCTGGCACTTCTCGAATTCTTTTTTGAATATGATTCTGGAACAATCGTATCTCCCCTCGTATACAGATGTAATATGCGGGATATATTCACCGTGGAATTATTTTTATATCCAGGATATCGATAGTTTCGTTGATAAACGGCATCTGTATATCCCTTGTTTCGAACATGCTTTCCTTTTTTTCCCTCTTCGAGAATTTTTATCGGATAACACGAATACGGAAAAGAAGTTTCCAATATTATGTATCTTTTATTTTTATGCGATAAAAGTAATAATAGTTGGTTGAACTTTCGTTAAAAAAAGAAGGAAGAAAGAAAGAAAGAAAGAAAGAAGGAAGGAAAGAAAAATAAAAAGTTTAAAAATATAAAGTTGTTTTTGAAAACGTCACTTACCATCAGGAGGCACAAAATCTTCGCTAAAACGGCAAGCTGTGGTAACCTGCAACAAACGAAGAATACATCCCCGTTAATTATCGCTTTTCTTCGTCTCAAATGGTAAACGAGTAAGAATTATTATTAAATCTACGACTGGCGGCACTCGTTGTTGCATCCGCGATATTTCGATTCGTGCCGCGCAATTTAATCGTTCGCGATCCCCGCCAAGTGATTTATCGTATGCAAATAAATTTCTCCTGATTACGGTGTATCCACCACCCATAGGAGGTTGCTGTTAGTGCTAGTAGAAATTGAAAATATAGGATAATATAGTAACGGAGCGCGTCTGACAGATAAGGAAAACGTATGTGTACGAGATAATTAGCGGTACGACTAAATTACAGAGGACAGAATTGTAGGCTACAGCTAGCTTCGCAATTCAATCTTTCTTCCGAGGAAGGCAGTAATTAATATTTCTTTGGTCTCGACGAGACGTCTAAAACGCTGCCCTCTCCCTCCTTATACATACAGATGTAATTTGTATATTTCTTTTATGACGCGCGTTTGACAGGCAACACTGTAGTAATAACTTTTATACCCGAACGCATAGGGTGGCTGCTAATCGGATCAAAAGAGCGACGCGTCGTCGTTGAATTCGTGAAATTGATTCGAATGAATATACGAAATAACTCGTCAATTTTCCTACGTTTCTTACGCACTGTCGCAACGACACTCAACATTTTGCCCACTTCGAATACGAATATCTCGAGAACAGAGTAAACACACGATCACCCGGAAGCATCGTATAATTTCGCATCAATGGCTGCGTTATCGGTTTAATAAAGACTCGGTTTCACTTTCCACGGTCTATAAACTTTCTCGTTGATCGCTCGTCGTCCTGGAACGTGGTGCGTATTTAATCGAGAATCAACGATTCGATTGCGTCGCGTCGATCGATTATATTATTTCTACCTTTTATCTTTATTACATCGGATTTACAAAAGGAGGAAATTAGGAAAACGGTATATTTACGTATATATATATATATATATTAAATTTAACGGCGAAGATTGGGGGCGCGGGTCGTAAATAATAAGCAAGAGTTGCACACGAGATACATGTGGTGAGCCACTGGAAGGAGTTGCGTAATGCGAATGCATCTCGTATTACAGAGAACACAGGTGACCGGCGAGTGGAGCGGCAGCAATCGCGTCGCCAATTCGCTCGTTTTAATTCGGTCGAGCGGGTCGATCGGTTGGCGATCGAGAGACGAGCGGGGATGGACCGAAAAAACCTTTCGTTTCGCCATCATCCCGCCCACCTCGCTCCAATAAAATCCACGATTTGCGCCCCGAGAAAATTCCATTGCCACGCCAATGCCGTTAAACCGTTTACTTTATTTTCCCCGCGTTCACTGAATCTTCGTAGAAAACGATAGTAAACCCTTCTATCCGATTGCCCGCCAACCGTTACCTCTCCACACTCGATGCAAGTAATTTCATTTTCTTGGAAACCTTTTTTTTCGTGAGATGCATCTTCTTACGATACGCGATTGAAAATCGCTCGATACGACGAAGAGGATTCGTCTCTCGAGCAAAGAAGAGTGAAAGAGTATGGTCGAAATATCTTCGAGAATACGTATTTATTGAGAGAGAGAATTTAATCCGTTCTCAAATTATAAATATACAGACATTAAGTAATTAAAATCGAAACTCGTTATATCGAGTCGTAACGCGTGGAGCGTGGTCGACTCGAGTTTCGTCGTGGTTTAATTGCGACTACTACATCGCCTCGGAAACTTAAAAACGAGCGCGTTTCGAGCCGAACGAAAAACGTATATCTCGTTTGCAAACAATTTGTCGTAAATTGTTATGCGAATTCGTGAAAATGTTTTAAAAATATGACGAAATAAAATGTGAAAGTACGATAAATGATATTTATTATCGCGAATATCAACATTTGGAATCGATGCGGAGGAATGCGAATATAAAAAGACGATGCGGCGAAAAAGAAAAATTTGACATTCACGAACCGTCCACTCGTGAAATACCTAATTCGAGTTATCGAAAAAATCGGAATTTTTTCAAAGCTTTCTATCCAAAGTGTTTGCGAGTCTTTTCTTCTTCTTTTTTTTTTCTTTCTTTGTTTCCTTACTTGTCGCGATATCGGGTTCGCATTAATTGCAACATTATCAACGTTTTCGCTGACAGCGCAGCGTTAACCCATCTTATTTTTAACGAGCATGGATCGAGACGCGTGTAAAAGAATATATATACTTCTCGCCGTGTTTCTATAAGCGACGATAATCCGTGACATCGTAAGGTGTGGGATACATTAATATTGAAATTTCTCAGCGGAGAGATTACGTAACGGAGAAAATGTTAAAACCGTTGGGCATCTGATTGGTAGCGGGGCGGAAGGGGGTGCTAACACGAGGAAAATTTCTAACAGCGTAGACCACGCGGCACCAGTCGCGATAAACAGCGGCACGCTCTCCGTGAAAAATCCAGTATTTCCAGTATTTCTGGTATCTCGAGGAGAAGAATCGTCGAGGCCGAACGCAAAGGTGGGTCTTCGGGGCGATTCCGCCATTACGTACGAATGCACTTGCATGACGCGCGTCACGAGATTCGAGGCATCCCGTTGAAACGACACGCGCAACCGCCATCTTCCATCCAAATTTTCTCCTCTCTAATAATAATTTTAAATCGATCCGACGAAATCGATCGTGGAGGAAAACTTAATCGTCGATAATTCGTGAGAGAACAGGGAATAGGAATGGGGAATTGCGGTTGGTAATAATTTTAAATCTGTCATAACTCACCAAATCGCCTTAAACATATCTGCGCGTCACCACTCCGAAGCGTGGTCATCTCAATCCATGCGCTAAGTAAGAAGAATCGTGACACTGATCCGACGTAAACGCTGAAATATTTTCTTTCGATCGCGTATCCAGCAAATCACCGAACCAAACCAACTTTTTATTAGATTTGTAAAGGAGTCGATAGAATTTACGGCCGATAAATTTCACACCGTAGAATAACGTTCGTCCGATTAACGACGCGTTAAACGTTTAGACGCGGCGAACGTTTTCGAAACACCTTTTTAAACGTAATAAAAAAGGAATGGTGAGAAGAAAAACGGGTCGTAACTGCTACACCACTCCGCGGCGCGGCGATATCGATTCGGGAAATCCAATCGATAAATTCGGCGATGCTCCAACGAATTCTTCTACTTAGATATATTCGAGATTCCCTGAGAATTAATCGGGATTACGTCATATCGAAGTCAGTCGTGACGATTAAACGATTCGAGGCAAAGCCGTGCGTATCTTGGTGCGAAGCGATGGAACCCTTCGTCGAAACGGAGGGTTAAAAAACGGACGAAAGACGCGTCGCGACTAGATCGATTACGACTAGAAAATTGAACTTGAACTCGGTGGAAGGCGTTCAGGCGGAAACGGACGAGATCGAATTGCGACCACTCGCGCTCGGATACGTTCGACGATCGAGAAAGCGAAGAGGAGGACGAAGAGAGAGTGGCGCGATTTGTTGTCACTGGCGCGAGATCAGCACGATGAATGTTGGCGAGGGTACGTACGATCCGGCGTGACATCCCCGGCCACGTGGGGACTCATCTAAAGGGGATTTTAGTGGGGATATTTGTCGCCTACCGCGTGAAAAACTGCCAACACTTGAATAGGCCCCGGCTCGTCGATGAAAAACGCGGCTACCGACCCGACGCCGATGGCTCTCAGCTGGACACCGCCTGTCGGCTAAATGCCCCGCGTCGATGTCGTGGATCGCCGTCTTTTCATCCACCCCAACATCCAACCGCACCGTCTTGGTGGTCATTCCCTTCATTCAGCCCTTCCATTTCCCCTACGTACGAAACTCGCGCGCGAACTCTAGGCGTGTCTCGCGCCACGACGCGAGTAAAATCGTCGACGTTGAAAAATTAAGGGAGAAGAGGATCGAAAAGATTTTATCGCGGAATAAGATATTATTATATACGGTTTTATATATGTGTGTGTGTGTGTGTATACATATCGCGTATACAACTGCGACTATTTTCCTCGTGAATACTTGGTACACGTTTACCATGACCAACGACGATAATTCCTCAGCTTGTAATTTATTTATTACTTCCATGTAACGCCCTTTAGTCGCACGGATTTCCATTTCGTGACAAATTGATCGGTCCCCGCAATGTGAGCCGTAGCATCGGGAAAAGCGAAGAAAAACACGGACGTCTCTATTGAAGAAACCACGAAATTTACTACCTTTCCAGCAGGCGAGGCGAGGCGAGGCGAGCACGGCTCGTGCTCGCCTCCGGCATCCGACCCACCAAAAACTCACCTGGCGTCGCGTCGACAATGCCGAAACTCCGGAATGTTTCTTAAATAAGCGTGGCAAGTTGCGACAAATCACCGATGTGGCCGACACACGAATTTCAGGAGGCGGCGGTAAATTCTCGTGTCCGATCGTACTTGCGCCGACGCGCGCCGCGTTTCAACGTCGACGAGTAACGCGATTGATCGGACCTCTATAAATTCCACCGCTGAAAGCCCACCACAAATCATTCGTCCAGACTCAATTTGCGAGCCGAGATCGGATATCGTTCGTCGATTCGTCGTCGATCGTGACAGATTCTCGATATCCGACGTCGCCTAGGGGAAAACTGGGTTGCAACGCTTCCCCCCCCCCCTTTCCAAAGTTTCTATAATTTTTTTCCAAATTCGAGAAACGCGAACGTTATCGCTAGGATACGTGTCGCGTCGTAAAACTCTAATCTCTTTGGCTCGAAAGGGTCTTAAAGTCTTTTGACGCTCGAATTTATCACTCTCTCTCTCTCTCTCTTTTTTCTTCTTCTTTTTTACCACGAAACATTCTAGTTTTTTTTACGATCAACGCGTTTCTTCTTTTCGTTACATTTAAGTATCACGATTATCCACGATAAGGATCCACGTTCGACAAACGTAACAAACGTTCCGCGTAATCGTGGATAACGCTTAAATTTGAATTCGACGTTCGAATAAGGCTCCGAAATGTAATATAATAATGG